GTTGCACTTTTGGGCCCGAATTCCCTATCATAGTACAATTGTTAAAATCGATATTTGTACAAATTAATACCAAAACGTAAAAATATTGAAATCGAGAGGTTTTACCTTTGAAACGTGCGTTGACAACGGCAACAACGCTGCCATTGCGGAGCGACTCTTGTCCACGCTTCCAGATGCGTGCGACCGTCTTCCAATGACACAAGTGGCGGCGGTCGTGGTGTACTCTCCATGGGCGATGCGGCCGTTGTTACTGCGCCCAAGGAGCGTCTCATAGATGGCGCGACGCTCAAGGTCGGAGAGCTTGCGCTTGTCGTGGTTTGGCTGGTGGGGGGTTGTAGGACTTGGCATTGGTACAGTCAAGACGACGAAGACGACGGGAGCAAGAAGTGTATTGAGCACGAGGTGTAAAATTGAATTTTGGCTTATCAGCGGGTCTATGATCGTGTAGCGTGAATGAGCACTTTTTTTTTTCCGCTGTAACTTTTGAGGCAGAACGATCTGGAAAGCGCTCAAATGAGCCAATCAAAGAGGAAATTTCGCGCTTTTTGGTAAGCCAATCATATTGCAATGAAACGCAAAATTAGAAAAATTCCGCCAATCCAAGTGTAAACCGGACTCTTTTAGTGGACCAGAGTAGTAGTAAGGACTTGCGGTTGTCGTTGATGTGCAGTCTCTAGTTACGCTGTACTTATCCTATCATCGTTATTTTAATTACGTGAAGCAAGCTTGGAATTTGTATGCAGCAATTGTATTAATTCCTCAAATATTTCTGTGTCTGAAGCTCTGTCCGAATGGTTTTCACGTCACGTCCGAGTCGTTATGGTATGGAATATGATTCGTTGACCTGTACCGATTATGATTTTTGAACATACACAGCTCAAACATAATTTTTTAGAATTACGAATTTGCCGACTATTTCTCTTGTACCCTTCGCGACAACATTTTACGGCTTACTGAAGTCGTCGAAAAATATATTTCGAAAGAAACTCCGGATCGTTTGGCATTGTTTTCGACGGTTGGACCCATAACTCCGAGCACTACGTTGCAGTGTTTGGGTCGTATGAATAGGATGGAGTCCATGTGCAGCAGCTCCTGTCGCTGACGACCATCATCCACGAGCCGGATGACGACCACAGTGCGAAGACGCACTACACTGCGATCAAGTCGTTCTTGGCCTTGTACAAGAAGGCCATTAAGCAATGTGTCTTCTTTGTGGGCGACAACTGCGGCGTCAACAAGTTAGCCGCGCTTATGTCCGTGTCGTTGATTGGCTGCGCCAGCCACCGATTGAATCTTGCGGTCAAGGCGTACACGCAGGAGCATGTGGATGAGCTCGCCAAGATACAACAGCTGATGATCAAGCTGCGAACACTCAACCAGGCCTCCAAACTCCTGTAAGTCTATTTTATTGTTTAATATAATTTATCATATTTATTTTCAATTTCTAAATTGTATATTTGAAATCGTAGGTTTCGGACAGAGCTACGACCAATTCTCCACCAAGACACTCGTTAGAGTTCGACGTTTGCCATGCTTCAGCGATTTTTCGAGCTTCGAGAATATCTCGACCACGAGGACAACACTATTTTGGAAATTCTATGAACGCTTGGTGAAACGAAGAAGTTGAAATGTCTCCTGGAAGATTTGAAGAAGGTAGAATCCGTGTCAAAGCGAGTTTGCAGTCTACCGACCCTGTAATGTGGCAGGTTCGAACTCTCTTTGATGCTCTTGTCGTTGACTTCCCCAGCTTTGAGCATTACATTGTTACAAAGTTTCATGAGGTGTATATATGAAATATTTCAAGTAGACTTGGAATATATTAGGTGGATCAGCAAATATTGCGGTAACCCAAATTTTGAAATACCATCACGAAACTTCAACGTGGTCTCATGCTCACTCGGCCAGAGAAGTTGGCCGTTGCTGCACTGCGAAGCAACTAAGGCGCAGACAATGCCTTGGACGAAGAGGCTAGATTTGCCGTAAGGGTGTTGAAACGTGCGCGCCTGGCCAACGAGAATGACACATATGTCCTCCTTGGTGCTGTCACCCCAACGTTAAACATAGCCGAGCGTCTTTTCAACATGGCGCGTGCTTTGATTGGCATCGACCGTTTTTTACTCCATTCCATCATGATTGAGGCAACACCGCAGCTACTGGGGCGTATGGAGTGTCTACGAAACTAAGCACCAAGCGACGTTTCTAGCTCCAATTTGTTCAAATAACCCGCATCAAGACGGTCAATTTGGCGTTGATTTTATCGAAAAGGGATTAAAAATGACGAAGCTACGCGCAAAATACTCAGTACCCAATTTTGATGTTCTATTATAAATTGGTCGTGCAAGTTTTACCTAAAACTTGCATGTGGACAGACTATTCGTCAGAATGTACGCTGACCAATTACATAGCGTGAATTAGGCACAACATCCAGTGATAGTGTGGCGTAAAATCCGTCGGAGAAATGTCACATTTATACTTATTAACTCGTTTACGGTATACAACTGCACGATGGATAAATTGAATTTCACTCCAGACAGAGGTTTGAACAGAGAGTTTCGGTGCTGAAGTGATTCGTTCGAATGTAAATCTCTAACCTCAACGTGAAGTGAATTTCAATTTTATCCATCTTATTATTGTATATCATTTGTATGGTTTAGCTGCGTCTTGAGAATAATTCCCTGATTAAAACAGTACTACAGTTTCTATTTTCCATCAGGAAATTGCAGTATCCGGACAGAGGAGCCAGATAATTGCCAACCTGGCAATAAGCATCCAAACGTTAACTGTAAGTACACAGCACCACTATTCACCTCAACGTGACTTAGTATTACTACTACTCAGTACCCCCTGGTAATAACTATGCGGAGTACTATTAAATGCGTTATTCCTCTGTTCCAAATTACTCCGGACATTTGTAAAATGCTTTTTTTCCGTATTAATGGGGACATTTCACTTGTCAATGATAAGCTAATCTGAAAAATACAATGATATCATTGGCTGAAGGTGTTACCAATACGTCACTTGGCGATACTTGCCCAGGGGCGGCAGCTGCGAGTAGTTATCATAACTGCCCCCCATTGCACGAATCACCAAGGCCCCGGAATACTTCAAGATATTTCGATTATTTTGTATCGTTTTTCTGATGCCCGATGAGGAATTAAATAGTGGGTTTCAGATTGGCCACAAGTTGATAGCGACAAGTTGAAATTTGAAATCAAATATAGCCAATGAAACCTCTCCATTGAACTTGCCACTTTGAAACCCCTGCAAGTCCAAAAAAGGCGACGAGTAACAAACATGGTCCGACGCAGTGAACGACAGTTTACCCTCCAACATGATGCTTCTGGATAAACGCCAACTCATGCGTATGGAACGAGCTGTGTTGAGTGAAAATGACAGCGACGAAGATGACCTTGACAGCCAGCTCATTTGTTGGATCCGATCGATTGAGACCGACGATAATTGTCCCGCCGGATCAACGATCCATTCAAAGCACCACGGTTCCACCACTTCTTGTTCGAGACCCGCCCGACACGATTCTGAAAACTGTTCCGGGTCGAGCGTAGCTCGTTTGACCACATTGTGGTCTTGATTCAGGCAGATCCCTCGTTCATGCAGATGTCATCCAGCTCTACCCAACGACTAGTGTCCCATCAACTCCTGGTGTTTCTCTATTTTCTTGGTGCCAATTGCAATGCCGTTTCGAACGAGCACATGTCGTCATTGTTTGGTATTGGTGCTGGTACCATCACGTTGTACATTCAGCGAGTCATGGACGCCATCGTGAGGCTGCGTGACCAGTTCATCCTGTGGCCAAATCATGTCGAGGCCAGTTCAATCTCTTTGGACATATATGCCATGTGTGGGTTTAGGGGTTTCGGGGTTTCGGGGATATCGTTCAACGTCTCCAATCTTTTGTACAACGTCCTTGGCAGTGCGGTGAAATATACCATGCGCTCCGAGCTTGCCGACAATCTCGGTTGCAAGGGACGCCTTTGTAGCACCCGAGTGCTTGTCTCCACCTTCCCAGCGCACATAGCTGGCCTCACACGCCATCCATGCGATGACCACGTCCATGCTCGATTTATAGTAAAATTTAGGAGGCAGTTTAGTAGTACAAAGTAGTACTAGTACTTCATAACATGCCGTGCAACTACTAGTACAATGAGATTGTTGCATTTTACATTTACTCCATACTTGGGGAAGGGGAAATCGATGAAGCACTTGGTCAAATCGGTCGTGCTGCGATGTATCATGGATGTCGTTGTAAATTATGGTCTGTATGTAAATTTCAAGCGAAGTTGGAAGCAGATCTGCAACTAAACCTCAGCTATGCTGTTATTGTGCAACTTCCACAGCGTTCGTAGCTACGATATCGATTATCTGTGACGTAGCTAAAGCTCGTAGCTACGTGAATTTAACGGTAAATTAATACAATCGTGTACTTACCAAACGGAGGAATGTCGCATTTGCACTTGCCCAACGGATTAACTCACCGAATACTCTCTACTAGTATTATTCTGACAATGAACTTACCCTTACATATGATTCACATTACTTTCCGAGTAATAGGCTGTAAAACCAGTTTGCATGATGTATCGTGAGATTAACGACGAGTCAGGATAAAACTAGGAATCAAACGAAATCAGTCATATTCTTGTCAGTGACGGATGGCCATCACAATAGCCGCTGAACAAATTAAATATCCAATAGACCTCTTACTCATAGGTGAGATGTATGACAGACTACTAATGAGCTGATAAGCTTCTCCACATACTGGTAACAATTCTACTTTGCCCGAAAACGCAGTCTTCGACGAGAAGCATGGGACTTTTACGTGGACATCAACCTTTTTCCGAAAGACAATTGATGTCCTTGAAGGGTATTTGACCTCAAATAATCCTGAATACACCTAACTCATGTACTTTTTAAGGCAATTGCGTTCTTTTTATATCATCTATGCCAAGCAATCACCCGCCATCTTCCGTTATTTATCCAGCACTATTTGTTATAAAATTCCTAAACCAAGTACATTGTCCTAAATGGTCCATATTCCGAA